AAAGCTTTGAGGAAGGCAGAAGTGAGAAGGGCAGCTGCTCTCAGAAAGACCCCTGCTCTCAAGCCTGGGAGCTTCCCTGCAGGTACAAGGACATAGGGTTTGGAGCTGGGGAATCTATTTTTTGTATTATTATGTTTTGTGCTACTGTAGTTTTGGTGTGGCACTATTGTAATTAAAATAAAGTACTTGTACCAAGTGCCATGTGTATGAATGTTCGATCTTATTGGGTGATGTGTTTCCTGTGGGAGCATGAGATGGACCTCCCTTGGCTTCTCTGCCTCTTAAACTCCTTCCCGTCCTTCAAGGCCCCACACAATAGCAACTCCTCCAGGAAGCCCTTTCTCGCCTCCTAGTCCACACAGGCTTCTATTTCCAACTAGGGTGTGTGGGTTTGCTGAGCCAACACAGAAACCACAAACTCGCTGACTAACATGACAGAAATTCATTATCTCATAGTTCTGGAGGTTCAAAGACCAAGATCAAAGTGTTGACAGGGTTGGGTCCTTCTTGAGGTGTCAGGAAGAATGCTCCAGGCCTCTCTCCTGGCTCCTGATGGCATCACACCCAGGAATGTATGGGACAGAGGTGGCACCGGCTGCTGCCCACCCCTTTCCCAAGAAGGGACACATAACATCTCCTGTCAGATTCCCAATGTCCCCCAGGCCCCAGCCTGCAGATATCAGTACCGTTTTGTTCTTTTGGGACAGCGTTTCCTCTAGAGCTTTGGCTGTCCTGGAACTCACTCTGTAGAACAAGCTGGCTTCGAACTCAGAGATCCACCTGCTTCTGCCTCCTGAGTGCTGGGATTAAAGGCATGCGCCACCGCTGCCTGCCTCATCGGTACTCTTAACAGACCCCTTTCCCAACAACCAAGAGAACAGATGGCCTCTTGGTCCCCAGCCCTGAGTCCTGAGCCCCCATGTCGCTTCTCTGCCGTCATCAGCAGTGGCCCTCCTCATGCAGGGCTCGAGCTTGCCCTTCCAGCTGAGGACCGTGGAGACAACAGAGCCCTGTCTTCAGAATAACTGGGAAATGTAAATGATCTGAAGTCATTAACTGTGAACCAGAGAGCCAGCAGGGTATACTGTGCTTAGAGGGATTAGAGAAGCCTTTAAATACTCCCAGACTCCAGTACAGCAATGGGCCTAAGGTCAAATGGCTTCACAAAGAGCTGCACCGCTTCACTCGGAGATGAGAAGAAGCGCAGAGGCATAGCCTGGCCGTGCCCAGAAAGGTCCATGCTGTAAATGATTCCAATGTCCCCCCAAGCTAAACTGTAACTCCAGCATACTCACAAGCAGAACCCCAATGTACTTATCGGGGAGAGAGTGCCTATGTGAGTGGGTGTGGTGCTGGGTGAGAGCTTCGGGACTGGTGGACACTACAGCCACTTAGTTGTCATTGTCATTGTAACAGGCTTTCTCTTGGGCCACAAACCAGCTTCCAGATCAGGACAAGGAGACTTATTATTAATTATGAATGCTTGACATTATCGTACGCTTGTCCCACTAGCTCTTACAACTCAAATTAACCTGTTTCTCTCCATCTACATTTTGCCTCAGGGCCTTTTACCTTTCTTTCATTCTGTATGTCCAGCTTTCGCTGCTTCCTCCATGGCTGCTTGGCGGCTGCCTGACAGGCTGACCCCAGGTGTCTCCCTCTTATTCTCCTCCCATTTTCTGTTCTGGAGCCTAGATTCCTCCTACACATTCTCTCTGCCCACAAGCTCCACCTATCCCTGTCCTGCCTAGCTACTGGCCATTCAGCTTTTTATTAGAACAATCAGATGCCTTAGGCAGGCAAGGGGAGCAGCAGCACATCTTTCTTTACACTGTTAAACAAATGCAGCATAAACAGATGTTCTGAAACATATCTTTTTTTTTTTTTTTTTTGAGACAGGGTCTCTCCGTGTCACAGCAGCTGTCCTAGAACTTACTTTGTAGACCAGGCTGGCCTCAAACTCACAGAGATCTGCCTGCTTCTACCTCCTGAGTGCTGTAACTAAAGGTGTGTCATTGCCTGACCGATACACTGTCATCTTAAATAATTTGTTAAGCTGATTGATGTTGATTAGAAATGCACAGGAGTGGCCAGGCGTTGGTGGCGCATGCTTTTAATCCCAGCGCTCAGGAGGCAGAGACAGGCAGATCTCTCTGAGTTCGAGGCCAGCCTGGTCTCCAGAGCGAGTGCCAGGACAGGCTCCAAAGCTACACAGAGAAACCCTGTCTCTAAAAACAAAATAAAAAACAACAACAAAAAAAAAAGACAGAAAGAGAGAAAAAGAAAAAGAAATGCGCAGGAGTACCCCAGATTGGTTATTTAAGATAGAATTTCATGTAGCCCAGGCAGGCCATGAACTTGCTATGTAGCTGAGGATGACCTATCTTAAACTTCTTTTTAAAGATTATTTATTCTCATTTTGTGCACATTAGTGTTTTGCCTGCCTGCATGTCTATGTGAGGGTGTCAGATCTTGAAGTTAACAGACAGTTGGAGTGGCCATGTGGGTGCCGGGAATTGAACCCCGGTCCTCTGGAAGAGCAGTCAATGCTCTTACCTACTGAGCCATCTCTCCAACCCTATCTTAAACTTCTGATCTTCCTGCCTCCACCTCCTAAGTGTGGTGATTACAGGTGTTCATCACCACACCTTGTTACGGAGATGGAAGCCAGGGCCTCATGGTGAAATGTGTCCTCTGACCCTCCCAGGTGAGCATGTCACATAATGACCTAAGATAGAGTTATGTCACATCTGAGGCTGTGGTACCAAGTAAGGGAAGATGTGGCATTTGCTCCAGCAATGAATTGAAAGACCCCCAGACCCCTAAGGGCCTCAGGATCCTGAGGAGCCCCCTAGACTCAGAAACCAGACCAAGAGCTGCAAAAGCAAGAGGGTTTATTGAACGAATGCGCATTCGGGTGTCAGCAATACCGGGAAAGCTGCACACCCCAGCATGGGGTGCAAGTTCCCTATATAGGAAAAAAAAACTGCAGATCAGCATACAGGCAAGGGGCACAAAGTGATTGATTACAAAGTATGATCTCATGTTAGAATGGTCACCCAGGTATGACGTGCTTTTCTACAAAGGAAAAAAAAAACACAGAATGTACCCTAGAAAGTCCCCAATTGTCTGTTGGCCAGGTGTGATCCAAAAAGGATTGTTTGTCTGCCCTTCAGTTGGGGCCAACTTCCTTGTCCTGGGCCAAGGCCTGTTGGAAACTTTTTCTCTCAGCAAACTAAAATCTTTCAGAATCCATATCTGGGAGAGCAGGTACACGTGGTGTATACACACACACAGGAAATCACACATACCCACAAGTTAAAAGTCTTAAGAACAAACAAACAAAACCAAGACCAAACATGGTGGTATAGGCATGTAAGCAGGCTTTAGGGGTTCTCATATGGCCATGACTGGCCTGGAACTAGGTACGTAGAGCAGGCTAGCCTGAAGCCGTGGAGGTCCATCTGCCTTCGCCTCCTGGGCACTGAGACTAGAGGTGTGCACTACGACACCTGACCCAACTTGGAAAGGTTTCTCACAGCTGTTCTTGGAGCTGTATGAAGACTGGAGTGGGAGGGGACTGGGATGGAAGTAGAGATAGCAGTCAGTCAGGGAGCATAGAAAGCAGGGTGTGTGACACACCCGGGGTAGCGAGGGGCCTCTGTCTGGTGTGACACACCCAGGGGATCGAGAAGCCTGTGTCTGGTGTGACACACACACACCCGGGGATGGGGGTAGTGAGGAGCCTGTGTCTGGGCTCTACCCTCATTTCCATTTCTTTTTGTAACACCAGGGCAAAACCCCAATTCTCCAGAGGGCATGCGCTGGCTCAAGCAAGCAGTTTCTCGCTACAGTGTTAACATATGACCACCAGATGGCGCCAAAACACAGAGGATCTCCTGACTGAGGGGAACCACCCCAACTCATTAGGCTTTGGAAGACTAGGCGGACACTTAAAGTAATCCTGGGCTAGGCTCCTGAAGATGTGAGTTCTAGTCCCTCCCCCATAACTTCCTGACTTGGGCACATTCCTTTGCATCTCTAAACTCTAATAGTAACGAGAGCAGAAGTGATAACCCAGGCCTGAGCCCCACATCACCTAATTTTAGAGATAGGCAGGTCTGTAGGGAGACTCTGTTCCAGACCTGACTTTAATCCCCACTCCAACCCCTAACTAACCATCCCCTGGTAACATTAGAGTCACCTGCGAAGGAGGAACCTCAGTTGAGGAATCGCCTCCGTCAAATTGGCCTGTGGGCATGTGGGGGGGGGCATTGTCTTGATTGCTAACTGATGCAGCCCACCGTGGAAGGTACCACCCTAGATTAGGGGGAGGGGTTGTACAAGAAAGTAACCGGTGCAAGCCAGGTGCCTTAGTTGCCTTTCTATTGCTGTGAAGAGACACCATGACCAAGGCAACTCTTATAAAAGAAAGCATTTAATTGGGTGATTGCTTACAGTTTCAGAGGGTGAGTCCATGGTCACCACGGCAGGAGCATGGCGGCACCCATGGTACTGGGCTAGTAGCTGAGAGCTTTGCATCCTGTTCTGCAGGCAGGCAGGCCAACAGAGCCACTGGACCTGGCTTGGGCTTTTGAAACCTCAAAGTCCACCCCCAGTAACACACCTACTCCAACAAGGCCACACCTACTAACCTAACCCTTCCAGGCTAACTAGGGACTAAGCATGCAAACATACGAGCCATATGTCCTAGAACTCACTCTGTAGACCAGGCTGGCCTCAAACTCGCAGAGATCTTCCTGCCTCTGCCTGAAAGTGCTGGGATTAAAGATGTGCGCCACCACCACCCTGAAGGTTGTTTTTGGAAACCAAGTCCAATTAGTGCTGCCCTGCCAGAATGTTGGCTGATCCATTTGGCTTGGTCCTGTGTAGGTAACTGCAGCTAAGGTGAGTTCATGAGGGCAATGGGCATGTCCTCTCCAGAGTGTT